ATAATTTGCAGATAATATAATTTAATGTTATATTGCGCACTCCAAGATTTAGAATTTAGATTTTTGTTAATTTCTATTTCAGAATATAGGCGATCATAATTACCCAGAGATTTTTTTAAAATTTTCTGTGAACTGCTATGCATTCTTGGAAAGTACTGGAGTAGTTTCCAGTTGCCATCTCTACGGTTTCTAATTCAGAGTTTTCTTTCTCTTAGACTGACTGTCATTGTTGGATAGCTCAGTCTACCCAACTATTTAATCCATAGCTGGGTTTGGGGAAGAATCGGATTCATCTCTTTCCCAAGAGGATTGGCGCGAATGTGAACGAAACAGACGAGCCCGGAATTTGAACTCGGCTCGCCGTTTCAATTTTCCGCGCCAGTAACCGTTACACTATTCGTACATCATTTCTGTCATAAAGACATTAACATGATAGCTTCCAATCTGGCATAGAAAATCAAAAAGTACACAGTGTTCCTGGGACTAGCCGCTGACCATAACAACTCTGCATTGACCCACCGTAACGCAGGCCAACTTCTCGTCATCTAAGAGATTCCAGAGTGTCGTGAGCAACGGGAGCTGTGCCAAGCCTTCCTATTTGTTCTACCAGGGCCTCAGGGGCAATACTACTGCGTACCTCGAGGTGCTGGACATAGTGGTCAAAATCTGGATCGAGAAAATGACACATGGGAGGTCTTATATAATTCAATAGGACCCCCACCCCGAATGACTGGCCTAAAATGTTCCCGATCATATTATCCACAATATTTGATCTGCCATTTCTCTTGATTCAAGTTCTTTAAACTTCTGGACTATGTGCGTGTGTGCGAGGGTTCTGTTAAGAGAGGACCATGAACATGAACGTTCTAGGTGGGAGACACTTTACCCACGTGCGACTACATCTGAAAGCAAGAATTAAAAAGAGAAGGACAGAGAATATGATTCTCTTTTTATAGACTGCAAGAGCACCCTCTAACGACCGCTTTTGGCGGGGCCAAGTGAGCCAACTCACATTATAGAGGTGATAGTTTGGACATTTTTGAATAGGCACCTCCACTGAATTTTCGATACCTAAGTTTTAAAATTAAATTTTAAATATGAAAAACATTCTTGAAGATTTAATTTTAGTTTTACTTGAAAGCTAAATGATTAAATTTATTATTTTCAGTAAGTAAAATATTTTGATGTATTTCAGATAGAAATTATATAGATTAGAATGTTAAATAATTGCCCGATTTAAAAAAATTTTTTTAAAGCGGCCATTTTCTTATTTTTAAGAAATTTGCAAACAAACAAATTTATCGGTTTTAAAATTCTTTCAAAATTAAATTATAGATTTGTGACACGTTATTTGAGTAAAATTAGATAATTTAAAGTTAAATTAATCTGATTTGAAATAAATATTACTTATAGCATAAAAATCAATATACAAGCATTTCTTAACGATGGGCCCATCTTTCTTTGATCTTTATTGATTTATCGAGAGACTCTCAAGGTGATGAGAGCTCTTACAGATGAGCAGAAATGATATAAATTTACGAAATCTAAGTTTAACTACCTAGTAATTTTTACAATTTAAGATATTTTCAGCAATTATTTAATATTTTATTGACTTTTAGTTTGGTTTCCAAAAGCTTTATGAAATTTGCATTTCATCTCTAGGTTCTTAAGTTTACTAGCTTAAAGAAAAAAATAATTAATTAAAGTATGACCAAAAATAAAATAAATACATAAAATAAAAATATTTAATGAATTAGCAATTAAGAAAACTAAAACTTTTTTTTATATATTTTGAAGGGATGATTTACAAAGACGTTAATGATGAAACAGAACTGAGTTAAAAGTGAAATAACTGTAGTGCGTCAGACGACACTTAAATCACGTGAACTTTTTAAGGATTATGTCATGTATAGATTCCCATAGGTAGAAATTCGGAACATTTTTTCACTAAAAGTTATTTTTTAAATTATTTTAAAAATATTTTGGATACAAACGACTGTTATGAACATTTCAAATTTTGATTCATAAATTTACTTTTCACTTAACGATATCACTGCCGTCTTGAAAGCAATGAAGAATTTTAAACGATTTTTGAACTATTATATTATTATAATTAAAATTTTGAAAAAATTCTTGTAAGAATTCATTATTCATCGAAAAAAATTATTTCTTCAGACAATTGTGTCGTTAATATAACTTAATTACAAAAGCAATTAGAAGCTTTTCTAATTAAATAATATCATAGTTTTATTTCATTTTTATTTTACAATTCAGAGCAGATTTTCGATGAAACGGTTAGTCGTTTTACAAAAAAAAATGATGATTTGCTTTCTCCAAAGGGTCCTGTTTTTAAGTAATACCCCCGCTCCAGCCCCCCCAATGTAATTTCTCGAAATTTCACGAAATTAAGTAAGTGGGTGATATCATATGTAAAAAAAAATATTTTTACCAAGATTTTCTAAAAAGAAAAATTTCAAAAATAATTTCATTCATTTCTGAATATCTTCTGAAAGTTTCATTCAAATCCGGCTATTATTTGAATTTTGCAAGAATTTTCAAATCAATATGTTCTTCACCAGAATAAAACGCAAAAAAAAACCTAACCTTTATCTTTGGTCCACCGCAGACGTAAAAAAAAATAAGATTTTTAACCATAATTTACAACGTGCTAAAAATTTCAAATAATAATAATAATAAAAAGATACTTTGGTCTTTCCTCTTACTAATAGCATAAATATTTTGATGACAAAATTTTTGTTTTTATTGAGTTTGGTGCCTTTTCTTCATCATGCTATGCTATTTTTACGCGACCATGTGGAGGTACCTATTTTGAACGAGTTGAGCGCTACACATGACACCCATATCTGGTGAGACTATTTAAGTACATGACTCGAGATCTTAAGTTAATGTTTTGCATTTTAGCATCTTGTGGTGTTAAACAAAAAAATTAAACTTCTCCAGTCCACTGTTCTAATATTGGTAGTAGTTTCCTACCAAAACCTTATGGAAAGTCGGTATCGTTATCATATCATTATTTTACCTTTTATTACATGTGCTTGTAATGATCATCATCATCACGCATATATATACATACTTACACAAATTCAAATTATACAACAACATGCATTCATTGAATAATAAATCAACACTACTTTGTAATAGACAATTTATAAATCGCAGCTATGCGACAATTTTATAATCGCTATATTTTCATGTCGTCGATTTTGTGCCCTTTTGGATGAATCGGATCCCAAGAGCCTTCTTAGCTTAGTAAATATTTTCAGGAAATATCAGCTTCTAATTGGTCAATAAACACACAAGTGGGCGTTGCAATCCACCCACGCACAATATATTTTTCCAGCGCGTGACTAAGTCAAGTTTCCCGCCAAGGCGTTGTGAGCCTGTCACGTGATTACATTATCTATAAAAAGCAAACACGAGTTTGCCTCTTCCTCTCTTTCTTCTCTATTCTTGCTGCAAAATGTAGTCCCAGAGAATTATCGTCTTGACCTTGCGGTCAGACGTTAAAGAACATTACCAACATACAAGTACGTACGAACATTCACCACAATACAAACTCTTACGAACTTCAACAAAATACGAACGTTCACACACACAAATGTTCACACACAAACACAATGTTAATTGTCTCTGTGCTTTGTAAATGTTTTGTTTAATACATATGTTTGTTTATATATATCGGTCATGTTTGTTTGTCTTCCTTGTCTTCAGTTGGACTTAATCCAAGTCCAACATTCTATTGTTGCTGGACCTTCTAGCAGGAAATATAAACGCAAGTGTTTTCTTTACATCTTCCTCCCCCGGTCCTATACATGCTAATCATTTTAGTTGTTGCTTTTGTAGCAATTTGTAGCGTGACACAAAACTACTCTACTAGCGTAACGAAGATAACGCAATGAAGTCGAAAACATCATGGATCTTCTTGTTAAATTTACACTCAGCCTATCAATAATGTTTCTTCTTTGGAAAGATTTTATTTATATTCATCGACGAATTATTTTGGGTAGACGGGAAATGGAGAAATATTTTTCTGTGCATCACATGGTCGACAGTATTATACAGGAAATACAAACAGGAAAATGGCAGCTGTAAAACAGCTTGTCTGATATTCAGGAAAGATCCTTGTCAAGTTTGACCATAAAATCTATGACCGAAGAACAGTAATTGCTTGTCTTACCTGACCGATCATTTCTAGATTTAGAATTAGTGAAATGATTTCACCAGATTGTGACGTTCACTGGTCAGTATGAATACAAATATTTACGTTTCACGCGTGTTTATTTATTCTGTGAGCGGTATATAAACTTGGTACTCATATGTGAGTGAAGAATAAGGAAATTATGTGTTAGGATGTGCGAAAAGTGTAGCGGTTAGCGGCTCGGAAAGAGAAATCGGCTTGCCGAGTTCGAATTCTATTCGAGTTTGGTATATTCACTTTCGCAGAAATACATTTAGAAAAGGTATGAATCCACCTTTTCTCCCCCTAACAACTGGTTAAATAGCAGAACAGAGTGGTATCACAAGCTGTAGTTTGTAATTAGCCTAGGAAAAGCACAATTTAATATATAGTTTACAATACAATTGTGAACCCTATGATCAGGATACAATCATGACAATCTATCAGGTTTCCTCTTTAATTCATATGGTAATAATTAAAGATGTCAAGATTTGATTCCAATTAAATAAACGACCACCCGTCCGTTTTCATTGATTGATTTGTTTTTTATGGGTTATCAATATTTCGCAGGTTATTTAAAGCTAGAAAATATTTTTATAGATTGTAAGAATGGTTTTGTGATAATAATGGTTTTAGTAATACAAGTCTTACCAATTAATCGATAGCTGGAAGGAGAAGGGGGTGGATCCATACCTTTCCCAAGGCTATTAGTGCATAAATGAATATATAAAGACCAGTGGGAATTGGAACACAGCTCTCCGATGTCAAATTCCGAACTATTATCCATTATACCACATACATGCTTACAGCACCTGGTATTCCCAAGTGGTCGCCCATTCAGGAACTGAAAATACTCGACGTTGCTTAATATCGGTGATCGTACGTGAACCGGTGTTTCAGCGTGATGTGGCCGTAAGTCCATTATGCCACCCGCACATCCAAGTGGTCGCCCATTTAAGAACTGACCAGAATCGATGTTTCTTAACATCGGTGATCGTACGGGACATATCCGGTCTGGTGCTTCTACTTTATACCTAGAGATTTTTAACAAAATCCAAAGTGTCTATAATGTAATCGATCCTGACCTGGCATCTCGACTTCAGTCACTTTCTCATCGATGTGACATGGCTTCTACAAATATTTTCAAAGCAAGTATTTTGATGAGCTTTTCTCCTTGGTGCCTGGACTTCATAAATTTAAGCGTGCTACTAGATTGGCAATTAGGTCTCACTGTTTTACTGTTCAACCGCTTTTTCTCTCCTAATAGTTTCTTTTCTGGCTATTCTCGCCTGTGGAACACCATTCTGATTTCTTGCTTCCTTGCTAGCTACAATCTTCAACAATTCAAATCTAACGCCAAATGCCATCTTCTTTCTTCCTGACTCCGGTCCTCTCATTGTCTCTTCTCCTCTCCAAACTCTTACTTTACTTCTTGTAACCTTGCGACCTTGTGCCTTACTTGTGGTTAAATGATTAAAAAGAAGAAGAAAAACAACAAAAAACGGAGAAATTTTGAAATCATTTAGAATAAATGAAATAGGGTTTTATGTTTTTATATTCTTTATACCACCTCTCTTCCATTTATAATATAATTAGAATTAAACTTGAGACATTGAAGTTGTTGTTGAGTTAACCTTCCTTATTCCTTAATTAGTATCCGCTGTGTTTGATCGGTTATGTGACCTGTGAAGCCAGACAGCTGATGCAAGTCTGCACAAAGACAGTCTTCTGGTAGACACCGCTAAGACAAGATATACCTTTGCGTCATGTCGTACCAATGAGTAAAGACAGCTTTTGAAACATCTACTAGCTTTCCTTTTCAGGGTTAGAAAGAAGGCATGTACCACGTTTCTATACTCTTCTAGCATGTTCTATTTCTAAAAAATAAAAAAAATAATTTGCGTTCTTCCGACTTATAACCGTCTTTATTTTTTTATTATAAATTCTTAAATAAATATATGAACCAACGGCAGATATTCTCAGGGTCGCCTACATATATTTAGCAACTCCAACACTACTAAAAGAGAATAATTACGATTTTAAATCGTTCGGTATATTTGTATATTTGATAAATTTTAACAGTGTTAAACTTAAAATTGATTTTGACACTACTGAAGGAAATAAGTCCTATTGTAAAAAAAAAAAAAAAATAAGGAAAAATCATTTTACTCATTTTTATTGATTAGTATTTATTATAATATTTCTTTATCCGCAACAATTGCCAGAATCGAAAAATATTGATTTTTTATCATTTTAGAAGGGGATCCTGATCATAATATAAATACAGTGTTAAATTAACCCTTGTGTTTTAAAGAATTATCTTTGCTTTTATTTACAAATGTCAGATTTGAAAACTGGACCCACGTTATTGGCATATTAGCAATGTTCTTTTTTTGTCCAATTAAGGATTTTTTTCTTTCTATATCTCTGAGATAAGGTATTATGATTACTTACATTATTTACATTATTCGGACTGTTATCCTCATCTTCATTGCCATATTCACAACGTTTCGACCGTTGTACGCTCCGGTCGTCTTCAAGGGATTGGAATTTTGAATCGAACCCTTTATTTCGTCTACGCAGGGTATATTGTTAGAGTTCCTCGTGTCATGCATCTTCCGGGTGTCTCAGTTATTTCATTTAACTCAACTCCCGAAAAATTTGTACTCGAACATCCTCGAGGACACATGGTCCAGGAGACAAAGTCATTGCATTAGATTCATTGACTGTACCCAATGAGTTGTGAGTTCAATACCAGTCTGTAGCAGGGATAAGCCAAAACATAAGGTGATAATCTTAAATGTCAAACTGTACTCAAAACTTTTGCTTAATTAAACAATTTCTTGTTTTTAATTCCTTAAATAATTTTATTTTTGTTACACAAGTTATTGCTTGTTTAAATATTTTCTTAAAATAAATCAAATAAAATATATATTTCCGTTTGTCATTTATTTAAAATGAATTTGTAAAAAAAAATCTATTTCGCCAGAAGCTTTTATTAAGAATTTGAGGAGGAGGAAAATCCATAATCCCGAGTTGGGAATAAAAGGACAACATCGGTAGTACGCAGTTCTCAATGACGTAAGCACAGTTCCCAACTTGGAATTAATATTAATTGTATTTTTTACGGCTTATCGACACTTTGTGGGTTATTTAAAGCCGACACATAAAATTGTAAGATAAGATTGTAAGAATAATTCTTTTCATCTTGCGAGTGTATATTGCATTAACAATTTTTTTTTGAAAATAACAAAGATTGTTTTTCCAGTCCAATTATTTAATCCATAGCTAGGGGAGGAGATGGATCCATGCCTTTCCCCAGGATATTTGCGCATAAGTGCATGTAACGAACCTAACTGAAATTAGAACTTGACTCTCCGATTTCTTATCTCGAGCCACCCTTCACTGCACCACCCGCACATCCAGTTGTATTTTAAAATGAAACAAAAGTAAATCTAACTCCATTTTACATCGTATTTATATTATGAACAGAACCCCCTTCTAAAACGCTAAAAACCATCCATATTTTTGATTCTGACAAATGTGGGTAGAGGAAAGAGTAATATATGAACAAAACTTAGTCCCACCTCTCTAATACCTTATTTTTTACGATGGGATCAGTTTCATTTAGTACTACTTTTTATTTATCTATGACAAGGAAGCGGTAAATAAAAAGATTTATCATGTTTAATAAATCACTATTCGGTTCAAACTCTGTTTTTGCTTATTTATTTCAAATCAGGTAACATTACTTAACTCACTGACAGTGAAATACAAAATAATATCGTAATAATCAAAATCTATGGAGACACTTAAGATCATTATGTCATATCGAATTAGCTAGGCTCCGTTTCAGCTCAAGTCTTCAACTCAATTACGATTCATCCAACATCAATCAACATCAACGGTATTGAATCCTGCAGCATTACTAGCGTTGGTGAATTAAATAATTCTCATGTGACATGATTCACAAAATCACTATCCTTTCTTTTGTCTTCCAGCTGAGAAATTCTCGGTTAACACAGAAGAAACGAAATACGATACTGATTTGTCAAAGATTATATTATTCACTGTATATTCACATAAAGAGAACATGAACGAAAATGCAAATAAATTGCCTTTATTTTGGCTCTTTCTATTTCTATGGCGGCTGAAGGAAAGCTGACATATTTCGTTAGACAACAAAATAGCTGATTTTTTTTAAAATAATAAAAAAGCATACATGAGGCAGAGTTTGTTTTTATTTGTCAGAAGTTATAAGATACGGGAAAACACATTTATTATTCTTCGTTAATTATTTACTGCTGTTAAGTTGGTATGTCACAAAACCAGGTTATTAGAGCCCTCTATTTATAGCTGCAGTTTCTAACCAATGGAACGATTTTGATTTTTGTCATATTTTACTTTCAAAGATTAGTTTATTTATTGTAACGTTGGTTGAACCAGGATTATTAAGTTTCGAATTATTATCGTATCACTGAACACGAGCCATTTGAATATTATTGCTTTTATTTTTTTAAAGAAATTTAATTTTGTTGATTTAAATATTTACTTAAATTTAGACTTTAATTTTAAGTGTGGCTATCGTATTTTAATATTAAATTAATGTCTTTTTTTTAATCGTTTCCCCCTAAACAAAGCGATATAGCTACTAAAACCCAAGGAGTTGCTGAAAGTAAAAGTAAATGAGAGAGAATAATAAAAGACTAGGATTCAATGAAACAGAAGGTGACGATTGACATTACATTTACATTTTTGAAGACCGTAGTTGACAAGAAAGCAAGAAGCCAAAAGAAGGTTCCACAAGTGAGAAGTGAGCGAAAAGAAACTATTAGCACGGAACTTACGCTTACATTAGCAATTTCAATAGTAAAACCACGGCATCTAACTACCAAGCCAGTATTGCATTTAAATTAGTAAGGTCGAGCTACCAAACTCATCAGAACAATTACCTTGAAAATATTTATAGAAACGGCACAAGGAAGCTACGTTACGGGAAAGTGACTGAAGCTAAGATGCCAGATCAAGTACGATAACATTGCAAATTCTTCTTCGGATTCTGTCAAGAGTCTCTAGATACAAATATGGTATTAATTATTTTAACACTAAATCAATGTCTAAGTGAATCAAGTTAAAATAAAATATTAGAATTTATAATGACCCCCATCAAAAACCCTGCTTTATTGACTTTCATAAATTTATCATTTTGAGGAAAGGTTTTTCTTTGAATTCCTTGAACGAGTAGTTAATTATTGCTTACATCATTTTAATTCTGACTAATCTCATGTTTGTTGTTGTTATTAGAACGTTTTGATCGCTGTGTCTTCCGGCCTTCATAAGATTCGGACAAGGTTAAAAGAATTTAAAACGGAACCATTTAATTAATATACGAGGGTAAATTGTTCTTGTTCTGATGTTTATGTTTAGAGATATCTCAACTTGCTATTTTTGGTATTGTTCAGTTAATGCTCGTCCTGGTTAATCCACTAAGCAATAATTTAGTGGATTAAAGTGTCGGTTGGTGAATTTATCGTCATAGTAGCAGTGAGTTCAATCCCTGTAGACCGATTCTAAGTCTGTACTAAACCGATCAAAGACAGCAATTGTTGAAAAGAAATGGCCTATTAGAAGGGCGTCGTCTTTCATCAAGAAAATACCAGACCTCAGGTATTTTGCAAACCCAGCAAAAAATGTTCGAACTTGGTTGAATATCTGCTATATTCATTTGACTTGTTACCTTCGAATTACCACTTATTTTGATCCTTACAAATTGCTCTTAATAGGAAAAACATCATTTCTCTGGAAGGCTGTAAAAAACACTTAAACCAATTCATTACTAAGAAAAATGTCAAATTCTTGGATTCCATCAATCATGGAGCTGCCTTAAAGATAGTGAAATATAGTGAAGCAAAATAA